CATATAAATTAAGCCTCGCCCCTTTGCTACGCCCCTTTTTGAGATAAAACCTGGTATGGCCAAGGTCGTACCGGCGGTACCACTTGCTATGGCCCTGGTATTGACTAGTTCATCCTGGGCAGTTGCTTTCATCATCTTTAAACCACTGCTCACTGGTGTAGCAACAGGCTTCGAATCCTGCAAACCGAAATGGTGCAGAAGAGTACTAATATACATTGGTTGTCCTAACCAAACAGACTTAATTTCTTCATTTTGTGTCACAGTAACTCCCAATAGATAATGCAGGTCTCCCAAATCTTTTACTTGAAATTGAGATTCATGAGTTCGTTTTACTTCCATTCTCTTCTTGCTTTTAGTTGCTAGAAGAATATCATCAACATAAACGGCTACAATGAATAATGGATCTTGATGACGACTTTTATAGAGGCACAAATCACTTGCATTTCGTTGGAAGCCCATTTTTCTCAGTTGTCTATCTAGTGTTTCATTCCATTATCTTGGTTCTTGTTTTAGTCCATAAAGGCTTTGTTTCAGTTTGCAAACGAGATGTTCCTTTCCTTTGATTGTGAATCCAGGTGCCTGCTTCATATAGACTTCTTCAGTCAAGACTCCTTTAAAAATGCTGATGTAACATCCATTTGATGTAGCATCGTTCCCATCTGTGCAGCAACGGAAACAACATAACGAATTGATTTATATTCCACTACTGGACAAAAGATCTCATAATTTAGACCAGCTTGTTGGTCAGACAAGTCTAGCTTTATACCTCTCAACAGATCTATCCTTTGTTCGTGTACCCATTTACAACCAATGGCCCTTTTCCCATCTGGAAGCTCCATGAGATCATATACTTCATTTGTCTTCAATGACCTCACTTCCTTATTCATGGCATCAATCCACTTGTCCTTCTCAGGACTAGCCAATGCTTCACTTAAGTTGTCAGGCTCCAATGGATGATTCCTGTTGCTGTATTGGCCCATATACCAAAACGGTCTGGTACACTTCGATTTCTGTTACTATGTCTCAGTCTCACAGATTCATCTACTACATAGGCGGCTGCAGGGTCGGGCATTTAGGGGCAATGCCTGACCAAAAATTCTGACCGGAAGTGTGACATCACCGTAATTAATAGTTATTCAATGGTTAATTGATAGTTAATAACAGTTGTTGCAATTATAATTTCAATTTTTAATGAAAATCTTATCATTATGAATGCATAAATGGCAGGCTGATAACAAGGTGATGAAGAGAGACAAAATAAAGGAGGAGCTCGAGGTGGTAAGACTTTGGTGCCAATGACAGTGGGCCACCACAGCAACACTTGAAAGCATAATCATTTCATTATTTTGTGCTATTTCAGTGTTCTTTTCTTGTCAGTTGCAATATCTAAAAGCCTGGACTAGCTTCACTATGTCCTTTGTGAACAAGCCTGCTAAAAAGGAACAACAGTTTACAATGTGAACCTAGAAAGTACAGTTTAGAAGTCAATAT